GTCTGTCCTGCAGTGACACCCTTCAGTCTCCTCCAGACTCCTCAGGCTGGCACAGATCCAGGGATGGCTCCCATGAGCAGCTGCACCACCCGCCCCTCTTCCCTTCCTGCTCTCTATTCCAACCCCCCACCAACCTCCTTTCCTTCCCTGGCAGGCTGCACACACCTGACCACAGCCACCTCAGCCCTTCCCTCAAATCCCCCCTCTCGTCCCCCTCTCCTGTCACTCCCTGCAGCAGCCAAGGGGGTCCCTACTCGGGAGGGCAGTGAGGGGGCCCCGGGAGCTCAGCCCCCATCCCCATCCAACCTCTTGCTCACACCACAGCTCTCCCTCGCTGCTGGGCCATGCCACAGACCATGGCTAGGTCAGACACTGCTGCCCTGGCCACCTCCTGAGCGTGTGAGATGTTTCCATTTGCCTGTCATGGGATCCTCCCCAGCTCAGGCTGCAGGCAGCAGCTTTTCCAGGCACAGGGGATCGTCAGGAGCCACTCCACAAGGCTCTGGAAGCACCTGGAGATGGTCTGGGCTGTGCTGGCTCTGTGCAGCTGCCTTCCTCTTCTGGTGCAAACATAAACAGAGCTGTGTCCTTGTGGCTGTCTCTGACAGATCTCACATGAATCTGGGCTCAGTCCAAATGATCTTATCTGTGGAGACACTGAGGATTTCCTACTACCAAGCTTTTTTGCCTGTTCAAACCAGAGGCAGCTCTGTGGGATGGGGAGATGAGGGAGTTCAGGGCTGGGGCTGAAGTGGGGAAGCCCCCTCTCCATCCCCTCTCCATCCCCTCTCCTTGCCAGTTTGGTGAGAGGGCTGCACTTCCCAACAGAGGGACACGAACCTCACCAAAACCCAGTAAACCTCCTCAGTGGGTGCTGGATCAGCCCTATAGATGCAGTTTTAGGTAAAACGGTTTCTAGCAGCTGACATGTGTATGGCCGTGCTCAAGGGGACAGGCCTAGAAAACCCAAGCAGTGGCTTCCCTCCCGAAATGTGGCCATGAATGCTTTACCTTGCTGCTGATTTCTGCAATGGGGGATGGCTGCTGAGATCACCACATCCAGCAAAGTCACACTGTCACCTCCTGCCACTGCACAGCAAAACGAGAGAAGAATGGGAAAATAAAGGAAAAATCTCCCAAAAAGCACACAATGGGTGCCTGGAGGAGCTGCCCCCACCCATGTATGAGCAAAAGCACTGACTGCTCCAACTGCCAGGGAAATCTTCCACTTCCCACTGCACACACCCACCTCCACCTTTTGCCCTTCTGGAGGAGAAGCTCCTCTCCCATTCCCAGTCTGGATCCATTCTCAGCCTGGACCTCTCAGTTCCTACCAGACTGTTTCTTACACTGATTAAAACACATCAGCTCTATGTTTTGTGCTTATCGAACATCCTTCTTCATTACAGCATCTCCACGCCATGGAGAGAGCCCTGGGGCTGTGCCACGGTCGTTCCTGGGGATGGTGTTTCCATCACTTTTCATGGAGCAGGGATCTCACTGACACCTCCTGAAACCACCCAGGGCCACGGCAGCTGCTGGTGACGGAGCTGGATCCCAGCCCAGTGCTGGTGCTGACACTGGTACCACCACGGGGAGGGCAGAACCTGAAAGGATCAGCACTGAGCTGCAGCCCCTCCCCTGTGCACGGCCCTGGATCCATCAGGCCCTTTCAGAAGGGCTCAAAGACGAACACAAATTCTCTTTTTACATCAGCAAATGTTAGTCTGGAATAAATCCAAACCAAGCAGAGGTTAACACATTCCTGGGAAATACATTAAATGTAGCACACACCAGTGTTCCTAATGGAGCGTGGTGACGCTCCAGCTCGCCCTGGATCACTCTGATAACCATTGCAAGCCACCGTGGACTCCACTTTAATTTGCTCAGTAACAGGCATTTAGGTTTGATGCATTTACTGGGGAAAGAGAGTGGCAGGAATAAGTAATTCATATCCAAACACTTCATCTCTCCCAGCCAACCGGCCGAGCAAGGGAAGGGCACAGCTTTTAAACCAGTAACTACTTATCACACCTTTCACAGCACAGGAAGCTGCTGGAGTTGTGATAAACATGATCAAACTATTAAAGTAAGAAATATCTGGCTGTGTGGTTTCCGGGAAATGGTGCCTCAAACCAACCACGGCTGCTGAAGCACAGACGGCGCTTCAGGGGCTTCTGCAGCCCTGGGGGTGCCGGGTGCACAAACACGCTCAGAGGGACAGTGTTCCCTTAAAAACTGGCAGCACAACACCCTCCATTTTCAGAAATGCTAATGAGCTGAGCTAACTGCAAACCTGCAGCAGTTATTAATTGCCCAGAGCCTCGCACACCTACAGCCCAGGGAAGGGAGCTGCCGAGCCAGCGATGCCCAGGCGCTGGCCCGGAGCCTGCGAGCCCACGTTCAAAGACACAAACCTGCTATTTGTGAGAAACCCCGCTGGTTTCATCCACCTTTGTCTGGCTAAAGAGCAAGCAGTGCCCTGGCAGCCGCCCTGCCCCGGAGCCCTGGCCCGGCCCCGCTCCTGCACTGGCTCCCGTAGCTGTCTGTTGAGCCGCACTTCCCCTTTCATAAATCACATTTTGCATTCTGAGCATGCGTCTCCTCTTCCATGCCATTTTTGTTTTCAGATAACCATTAGCTTAATTAATCAAGGGAAATGCATCATTTCTGATCGTATGTTCTGATAGTGAAGCCAGGGGTGGCAGGGAAACGCTTCCCACCAGCCCATCCCTGGGCACCCCCTGAGGCAGGATGGGGCTCACCAGCATCTGCCCAAACTCCACTGGCCCAGCACCCTCAGCTCGGCACCCACAGAGCTCTGCTGACACGTAGTGTTGGTTCAAAGCCTCTTAACATTCAGCACAGCTATCAGGCAAATGTTGATTTTAATCAGAGTTCACCGTTTCCACTTGGGTGGAAATGCCTTGGGTGCACAAACCACCAGAGCTTTGGGGCCTCTGTGCAGGCAGGTGAACACCCCAGCACTGAACATCACCCAGCTGTCCTTTGGAGCATCAACCAAAACCGGGGCAGAGCTGAGCTGTCAGCACTGCCCCTGGCCTTGGAGCCACCTCCCAGCAGCCATTCCCACCACAGCTGAGCCACACCAGAACCTAACCTACATCTGCACCAGTGGTGTCCACAGGCAGCTGTCCCACTTGGGTACAAGCCTCTTGTGCTGTTCCAGATGGGAAAATGGCATCTACACACCCAGTGCTTCCTTTTATGCCAATTTAATCCAATCTGCATTGGAAAAGTGCTACAGCTCTGGTATAACTGCTAGGCAAGACCTGGGTGGAGTGGCACACACAGGGGTTCCCAGCCTGCCTGGAAGCTGTCCCACCTTCCCACAGACACAGACTCAGGTATCACTGCAGGCTCCACCTAACCAAACCAATTGATTCACTTCTCACAAGTTCATGGCTCTGGTGCACACACATCAACGTGCCATCAACAATATTCCAACCCAGATCTTTGCTGGAGGAGACATCGACTTTGCAAGAGGAGACAGGCTGGCACCAGAGCCAGTCTGGACAGCACCAGGTTTGGAGGGTGGCACTGCCCAGGCACTCAACTCTGTTTGGGGAGGTGACAGGGGCTCTGGGGGACACAGAGACTGAGCACAGTATCTCAGCCACCATGCTGTCAGCCCTCTCACAAAGAATTAGCCCTGCACTGCATTTCCAGCAGACTCCAGCAATTATTAATCCTGGTCAGAGATAGCTGCAGCTTTCTTGGTGGAATTTGGACCATCTTCCTTTCTGGAGGCATTCTACTTTTTATCCAACTGTGACCCTCCCCAACACTGGGATGACACTGCTGGGATGGCAACCATCACCCATCACTGTGCCACCTTCCCAGCCTGTGCTCCCACAGCTTCCTCAGGTTCCCTTCTCAGACCTCCCCAGCCCGCTCTGGAGGAGGCCAGCCCTGCCTCACACCACGGGTACCTTGGCCTCGCTGCCCACCCACGACTCAGGGTGCCCTCAGCACTGTGGGCACAACACTCGGGGTGAAAACTGAATTATAATCAAAATGCTGCACCTCAGAGCAAACTTTTTAACCTGCAGGTCCCAGCCCTGGGGCAGCCCAGCTGCAGCCTGCCCACACAGGGACCTGCCATCCACAATGCTGTAACAAATGCACTCCAAATCCCGGTAGTTTTTGTAAAGGTTTATAGTCCTTTGCCATGATTGCATGATACATTTCTTCCCCTGTGACACAGCCCTCAGACCAGGATGCGCCGCTGGCAGCTCGCAGCAGCTGGGCTTTGCACTCCGATCTACACTAGCTGCAGAACATCAAATGCACTTTCAACATCTCCATTTAATATTTACATTCAAGCAATTAATAATTGGAAGCTTATAGTTTAGACATTTCTAATAGCAGCAATTTCTATAATAGCTCGTTTAGCTTTAGATAACGATTTTTTTTTTTTTTGCACATAGAAACACCACATGTGTACAGTATCAAAAAATATATACGGATGGTCCTGTGGGTCATGGGGAGGGCGAGGGACCAAGACTAACAAATGCTCAATGGTTAAAAAGGAGAACAGAAAATAGTCGTTTGATATAGTTTATAAGGTGATCTAGGGACTCCATAAATCTAGGCTTTATATTTCATTATATAAATACCTACAAATAAATATATTAGCGTGGCCAGGGAGCGACCAGCTTTCAGCTCAAACAATACATTTCAATAACACCACGTACAAACGGGAGCAAGAATCACTTGACAAGTTAGCACTGTTAAAATATAATACTATAACTCTGAGTAACTGGCGGGTCCCATCCTTGCGTGTCCCACTGCCTTGCGGGTCCTGGAGCAGCCCCCGGCCGCGGGGCGGGGGCAGCGGCGAGGTCACCCCACGTGGCAGGGATGGCCACCGTGCCTGTCCCCGTGTCCCCTCGGTGGGGGCTCGGCCCCGCGGCGCGGGCAGGGGCACGAGGGCTCCGGGGAAGGGCCACCAGTACCTTGGAGGGAGGCGGAGGGGCCAGCAGCCCCGGGACGGGCGGGCAGCTCCCACGGGGAGCGGCTGCCATCCCACCTCACACCGTCACGTACTCCTTGAAGGTCACAGTCAGGCAGTTTGCGGTCACATCTGTGATAATTATATTCCCAAAGAAGGGCTTGAATTCCTGCAGGGACTCGGCCTCCTCCTCTTCCTCCTCCTCGGCGGCCTCCTGGGGCTGCGGAGGCGCCGGGGCCGGGTTCTCAGCCGGCGGTGGCGGCGGCAGCTCCGGCTTCACCTGCGCCAGGGCCAGCTCGCCCTCCGGCCGCGGCTTCACGCAGCGCAAGTCTATGGGCTCGTCCAGGTCCGAGTCCAGCAGGATGACCTCGGGCTGGGCGGGCGGCTCCGGCCGCTCGGGGGCCGGGGGGCTGAGGCAGGTGGGGGCACTGATGCTGCGGGAGGTCAGGCGCTTCTTGCCCGGCTCCCGCTCCGCCTGCTGCTCCGACAGGCAGCGCTTGCGGGAGCTGGCGCTGGACAGGTTCAGTCCCATGGAGGAAGGGCTGTGCTCGCACACGGGACTCAGGGACCAGGGCACAAGGTCCGGCTTGGTGGTGAGCTGCAAGGGCTGCTCCGCTGGAGGAAGGGGCAGCTCCTTGGCCAAGGGAGTCTTTTGGGGCCCTTCCTCCAGCTCTGCAGGGGGCTGCCGGCTCTCGCCCTCTGCTTTACTCAGGGCATTGCTGCCCACCACCCTCTCCTCCCCTGGCTTCCTCCAAGCCTCCACCTTCTCCTCCCCACCCTTCTTAGGAGTCCTCTCCTCCGCAGCCCGCTTCCGGGGAGGCTCCCCGGACTTGATCTTCACCGCCTGCATGCCGTTCTCCATGTACTTGCTCATCACAATCACAATGCGCCCATTCTTGTTTTTGTTCTTGACGATCTTCATCTTTCCCCCAAGGCCATTGCTGGTCACTCTGTCCCGGGAGGGCGGCCCGGTACCACTGGACAGGTTCTTCTCAGCGCCATTTTTGCTCTCTGCTGTGAGGTTCTTAACTGGGCCCAGCAAGGTTTTGGCTGGGCCATGAGCCCACTTCTCTGGGTGGGCGACCAGGGGGGTCTTGTTATTGTCCAAGCAGGCCTGGCCCTGCGGCTCTTTGCTGCTGGGCTGGTAATGGGGCTCGTACATCTTGGGGTCCGGCTGGTAGTGGTGGTGCTTCTTGCTGTTCAGCTGGTAGTAATACTTCCCTTTGCTGTGGGACTGGTGCTTCATGCTGCTCTCCTTGCCGTTGGGCTGGTACTGGTGGTGCTTCTTGCTGTTGAGCTCATACTGGTGCTGCTGGCTCTTGCCAGAGGAGCCGAGGTCCAGCTTGGGCCTGGTGTCCACGGCCGGGTCCTGCAGCCCCGTGAGGATGTTGGAGCGGCGGGCGAAGGAGGGAAGCTGGAACGCAAAACCAAAAGGTGCGGTCAGACAGGGCAGGAGCAGCGGGGGCCGGAGCTCCGGCAGGTGCCGAAGGCTCCGGCAGAGCCCCCGCCCCTCCCGCAGCTCCCCTTACAGGATGCTGCATCCCGGGGCACCGCGTCCTCTAGCAGGCGGCCCCAGCCCACTCCAACTTAGAGGCTGTGCATTGCTCCAGATTAATGAAGCAATGAAAAGAAGAAAAGCCCCCTTCAATCAGCTGTCTGGGAACGGGGGCCGAGCGGCACCGCCGCTGCCGAGCCCGCGAGCAGCCTGCTAATGCCAGCCGGGCACGGGCACAGCGGGTCTGCTCGGCGGCCCCGAGGGGAGGGGAGGGGAGGGGGGCTGCGGCACCCGCTGAGCTCAGCGCTGGGGGTCCCCGGGGCGCTGCGAGGCGCGCAGGCTCCTGAGCATGATGAAACTCGCTGCAAGCAGCTCCCCGGGGACGGCCAAGGCGCGGGGGTGTGGGGCTGGGCTGGGCTGGGCACCCGCGCGTTACCTGCACGACCAGCGGCTTTGGCTTGGGCCCCCGCTTGCGGTATCCCATCAGCTGCTCCTGCCGCTCCCTGCGGGAACACAGCGTCACGGTGAGCCCGAGGGCAGCGCACGGACCCCGGCACCACCCCCGGGCACGGCAGCTCCCGCTGCAGGGTGGCAGTGACCCTACCCGGGCACGGGGAGGGGGCAGCGGGAGGGGAGCGGGGCCCGCAGGTGCGGAGCTGCGGGCCCCGCAGGTGGCAGCGGGCCGGGGGCACGGGAATCCTGGGGAAGCAGCAGGCGCCTTCCCCGCTGTGGAGAGGGGCTGAAGTTCACAGTTTGCGCCAAAACACTCCAGGAAATAAACGCGCGGCAAGAGAAAAAAAAAAAAAAATTAAAAAGGCTTAAAAAAAAAAAAAAGCAAAAAAAAAAAAAAAAAAAAAAAAAAGAAGCCGAAGCCCGTCCAAGCGCAGCAGCAGCAGCAGCAGCGCCGCCTCCTCGACTCGCGGCATCGAATCCCGGGAAGAAGGAGCGCGAGGCGCGGCGTGGGGGGGGCGCGGCGAGGGGGGGACCGCGGCGTGGGGGACCTTGACCCGGAGGCGTCTCCCGGTGGCCCCGCACCGCCCGCCCCGCCGGGGCCGCGCCCCCCGGCCCGGCCCGGCCCGCGCCCGCCCCCGCCGCGGCCCCCGGCTCCGTGACGCATCTGCAATTGCGGGAGCGGCGCGGAGCGGGGGTCCCGCCGCCCCTCCCGCATCCCCCCAACCTCCGCCGCTCACCTGTTCTGGAAGGCGATGAGCAGCCGGGGGTCCAGGATGTTCTCCTCCGGCTCCCACGTGTTATATCTTGGAGAGGGGAGGAGAGCGGCCGTCACCGCGGGGCCCGGCCGGCGGGGCCGGGGTCCCGGGCAGAACCACCCCGCAGCACCGGGCCCGATGGGAGCAGGGTGTGGGGCTGGGGTCCCGGGGAGGGGGATGGGCGGGGGAGTGGGGGCCGCGGGGACGGTACTGTTTATTTAGCGCAGTTATTATTCCGGAGGAATTCCAGGCATGTCATGATGAAATTTTCCAAATCCCCTTTCCCGGACCCAGGAAAGCGGCCGCGGGGCGGAGGAGGGACCCGGCCGCCGCGTCCCGGACCCCCCCGCGTCCCCCCGCCCGCACTGTCATGCAAACCCCGAACGGCTCCGCAGCGGCCGCGCTCGCTCCGGTGCCGGTGCTGCCCCCGCCTCGGCAGCGGCTCCCGGGGCTGAGGGGCGACGCGGACGATTTTTGCGGTTATTCCCCCTTTCTCCCCCCTTCCTGCCCCCCCCCTCCCCGCTCCGTTCTGCAATATGGAGCCCGACTCCCGAGGAGGGAAAGGGGGAAGGAGCCATTTTCTGGTGCACATCAGCCGCCGCCTGCTCGGCTCCCGCCGCCGTCACCGCCGGGCCCCGCCGCCGCCTCTCGCCGCCCGCTCGCCGCCCCGGCCGGGGCCCTTCCCAGAGCCCCATCCCCGGCGCCATCCCCGCCCGCTGCCGGTACTCACTTGGGCGACCATCCCCTCCATTTCACCAGGTACTCGACTCTGCCCTGAGCGGCGCAGGAGGCAAAGACACGGCGTCAGCGGGAACCGCCACCCCCGGCGCCCCCCGGCCCCGCCGCCCCCCGCCGCCGCCGCCGCCCCCCGCACCTTTCGGATCCGCTTCTTCTCGATGCTCTCCACCGCGAAGACGTGCTCGCCCACCGCCGGCAGCTCCATCCCGCAGCCGGGAGGGGCCGGGCCGGGCCGCGCTGCAGCCGAGCTGAGCTCGGGCTCCGGCAGCTCCCGCCGCCGGCCCGACAGACACTGAGCGGCGGCACCGCAACCGTGCAAATCCCGGAGCGAGACGTCAGGGAGGCGGTGCCTCCCGGGCCCGGCTGCCCGTCAGCGGCGGGGCCGGGGGATTGGCGCAGCCCTGCCGGGGAGCGAGGCGGGGAGGGGGCGGGCGGGGGCCGGGCACGGCGGCGCGGGGAGGGGGGCGCGGGCAGCTCGGCTCCCGCCCCACGCGTGACTCAGCACGGCCCCACGGGACTGCCGGGGGGCGGCACAGCCCGCGGGGCAGGTGCGCGACCCGCGGCCCGGGGGCGGACGGCTCGGCCGGGGGGTCCGACCGGAGGATGTGCGGCAGGACGAGCCCTCGGGAGGGCTCCACGCTGCGCCACGTCGCGCCGTGCCCCGGGCCCGGGAGTGGGCACTGCCAACCGTGGGGCCCGACCCTGCCGGGGAAGCCCTGGCCTCGCTGCCCGGCGGTCCCTGTGGGGCACCCGGCCCGGGCACAGCCAGCAGCGGGCCCGGGCCCGGGGCAGGTGGCGGCGCTTTCCCCGCCCGGTGCCGGAAGCCGCGCACGGCGGCGGGGCCGCTCGGGGAGCCCGGTGCGGGCGGCTCCGCGCTCCCCTCCCCGCGGGGAGCAGCCTGAAGCACACGCGTGTCCAGCGGGGCCGCTCCCCGCGCTGCTCCGGGAAATGTGGCGGTACCGGAGCGGGAGGCACCTTCCCCCGGACAGGTGGAGCGGGGCCGGGCACCGTCCCGGTGTGAGCCCCGTGCAGCCCCCGCCGTGCGGGCCGGCAGCTCCGGGCCTCCCGCCGCCGCTACGGGAGCGCCCCGGGCACCGCACCCCGGGCAGGACGGCGGGGCCGCGGGCACGCGTGGGGTGAGACCGGGGCGCCGAGGAGCCCTCGACCCCTCCCGGGGCTCGGCTCCTGGGCTCGGTCCCCGCAGGTGCCCGGCCGTGTCCCGGAGCCTCCGCGCCCGCTGATAACGGGGCCGTCCCTGGGGCTGCCGTGGGGTCTCGGTGCCCCCGTGCCCGTTTTCCCCCCGGACTGTGGCAGCCGCCGTGTCCTGCCAGCCCTCGGGTGCGGCGATCGATCCCCGCGGGGCCGGGCCGCCCGTGGGGCTCCCGGTAACTTTGTCCGGGAGCGGCGGGGCTGAGCTCGGGCGGCACCGGGGCTCCTTTGCCGGGCTCGGGCAGCACCCCCGTTCCCCCGGGTCGGTCCCACCCCGGCTCCCCCGGTGCTCCGGGCAGCAGCAGCCCGGGCCCGGGGGTACCGGAGGGGGACACACCGGGAGGCACCGCTGAATGTCACCGCGCCGCAGCCCCGAACAAAGACGCAGCCGCCGCGATCGCAGAGCCGAGCCAATAAAAAGCAAACTGATATTACAATTTTGATTTCCCTGGAGGGCCGAAGGGGCTTAATGTAAGAATTATTATCCATTGTGAACAGCAGCCCAAGGAAAACACACACAGGAAGATTTAATTTTTTTTTTTTTAACTTAGCGGTTTTCCTAAGAAACATACATTCATTGAAATTTATGCCAACGGAGTTTGTTAACCCTCCCCTTTGACATTTCCAGCTTCTCCTGTTGCCAGAGGAGACAAACCGCTAATGCTCGCAATAAAACTAAATGCCCAGGGACGAGCACGGTTTGGTGCGATTCCTCCCCAGCCTGGGTAAACTGCAGAGCACGATCAGCTCCGGATCCCGCCCGGCTGGGGAAGCTCTGCTCTTCCCAGGACGCAGTCGGGAACAGGCGATGAGGACGGCAGAGTTTGGCTGGCTGCATATGTATATATATATGTAATTTTTTTTTTTTTTTAATTTAAACGTGTGACCAGATATCCTTGGCACCTCTTAGAACCAGCCTGAGAAGCAATACAAGAGACTGTTGATGAAATACAATACATATATATATATAAATAAGTGAAACAACACTGAAAACCAATATTAAAAGCATTTTAATCAGTGCCTGGCCCCTGGCTCCCATGGCTCAGCAGCAGCTCCCGTCCTTCGGTTCCTGCAGGATCTTCATCTGCTTTCTGTTACGGGGCTGATTGCACATGATTCACAATAATGATGGTAATGGTGGTGATTTTCTGTCTCTTACCTTGCTCAGGCAGCAGCAGTTCATGAACTGATATATCTTTCTCTTTGTCAGGCCCAAAGAGGACACCTTATTTGAACCACATAAAACAGCCTAAATAAGGAAAGTGGGAAGCATTTCCAACTGTTGCCTCTTCCTGACTGGCTGGGGTATATCACAGGGATGAGACAAGGAAAAAGGGTTTCCAACCAAAAGGAACAGGAGCCAAGTGCTGCCTTTAAAGCCAAGAGAGGAGTGGGTTGGCCCCGGGCAGTTCATTGCTGGTGGATCAGGCAGGTACGAGGCACAGACACATTCCTCCCCTTTACCACACACCTGGCCAAAAACCCAGATTCCTCTTCCTCTGCAGAGCATCAGTAAAAGGCGCTGCTGCTCTCAGCAGAACTGTCCCAGGTGGGGTGGGGGCTCCTCCCCGTGTGCCTGATCCGAGCTGGGGCTGCTGGGGTGCAGCTGAAAGACAAAACCTCCAACAGCCAGAGACAGATGGGCTTCCTGCAAGTGCTAGGAACCATAGCAAGGTAATTTTCCCCCAAATACTTGCTGGCCATGTTCCCTCCATGTACCCAGAGCTGGTGTCTGTCTGTGTTTATTCTTTTCACCATTATTTATAAAGTTCTTACCCCGGAGCCAGAGCCAGCTCTGTGGCAGTGCCTTGCTTGGGGTGGGTGCTGCCCCTCCAGAAGATGCTCCTCTTCCCCTGGCCCCAGCAGCCCCACTCTGTGTTTGCCATCAAGCAGCACTGATTACACATGCCATCATTTCTGATGTTGCTCATTAGTCTGTATCATTATTAGCAATTCAAACCAGCAATTCTTTTCCAGCTGTAATCCTCCAGCTCCACCAAGGCGACTCCAAGGCTGCAGTTTGGGTGCTCACCTTTTCCTCCCTTCTGCCCCAGTGAGGCTGGAGGTTCCTACCCAGTCTGCAAAGCCAGGAACACGCCAGGCTGAACACAAAATAATAACAGAAAGTTAATTCATGAATAGTTACAGCGTTTCCTTCAAGGCCACTCTCACAAGGGGCCAGGCACCGACTTTGCCACGTCCTTGGAGCAGGGGGAAGGGCACTGGCCCCATTCATCCCTACCTGGCCGCCTGCAGCCTTGGCCAGCTGGGCTCCAGGATTTGCCCTTCTGCTTTTGTCAGCTCTGGCTTGCATTGGAAGTTGTGGCCAGTCTGAAAAACGGATTATGACACAGCCCTTGCTGAGGTCAACACTGTGCTGGAGAAAGACAAGAAAAGGATGAGTAGGTAGGCTTGGAAAAAGAGACAACAAAACCAGCAAACCCACAAAAACCTAAACCCACCCACCCAATCAATAGGATGCCATGAAGTACGATGTGAACAATGAAACCCTGTTCCAGGTTGCTAAGGCAAATCTGTCAATAGAGTATTGAACAAGCAAATCTGACTTGCAATTATTGTGTCCTTCTAAATGCAGGCTGCCCCTCTGCCTTGCAGCTCAGCCCCAGTGCTGGTGCGGGGAAGCTCAGTGATTGCTGGTTCAAAATGGTGAGGGAAGAGTCAAGTCTGGCAGCTGGGCTGGAATTTACTCCAACACACGCACTAAAACCCCCCGGAGCATCCCCACCACCTTCAGTGCAGCAGCTGAAGTGACACGTGCCCTGCCCCCAGTGTAACAGGCAGCAGCAGAAAGCCCTTTGGAAAACTGTTCACCCTTTACAGCTTTCAGTAAAACATCCAGTGCCACGAAGCACACGCGGGTGTCCTCAGACACCGAGTGCCCAGCATTTTGTAATGCTTAGGAAAACACCGTGAGGAGCCCGAGATCTCGAGGCTAGGGCTGTCACTGTGGTGGCCTTAAAATCCAGCACAGCAGCAAGGTCTGGAGCTGCCACCACCAACCCAGAGGCAGCAGCAGTGGGAAAATCCAGAGGCGAAACCACCCTGAACTGGGTCATCACGTGGAAATTTAAATGGCTTCACAAGTGCATCGCTGCTGCTGCTGCACATGGGGCCGTGTTAGGTGAAAGCTTTTTTCTGGTGCTGCTTCCAGCACGAGCCAGAGGAGGTTGTGAGCGGAATGCTCAGGAAGGAGACACTTGCAGGAGCACGCAGTGTGCTTCCCCAGCTCTTTAACACTGCACAGCAGAGCAGCTTCTGCGCAGCTGATGGAGGGGCTGAGGCACAGCCGACACAGGGCAGCGTTACCCAGAGCAGCTGATTTGGGGGCATGGCTGGGCTCCCCTCACCGCTGGAGCTCACCATGAATGAGGCAGCCCCAGAGGAAGGAGACCCAGCCCTACTCTGCAGAGCTGCAGCCGCCACAGGCAGGGAGGGCAGCGCGGGTCCCACGATGCTCCATCCTCGGGCACTCGGCCGGGAATCATCCCCCTTCCCCAGGGCTCCTTTCTGCTGTGCCTTCCCCCCACACCCTCCAGCATGGGTGCCAGTGAGGGAGCCTCAGAGACCATCTGTCTTTAATCTTCTTAGAGCCGGGCAAGTCGGGAGAAATTCAGAGGAAAGAGGCACCGAAGTCCCTCTGTCCCTGTGACAGCACAGGGCTCTCAGCACACAGCTGCTGGGAGCAGGTCCTGCCTGCCCCACATCCCCAGAGCGATGCAAACTGCCTGAGACACCAGGCAGAGAAGCACACCTACCCCCTGGAGCAGAGGGGGACGGGAACCCCTTCCCCAGGCACTGCAGGGACCCTGATTCCCATCCTCAGCCCCTTCCCTGCCATCCCTCGCTATCCCCCTCAGACCCAACCAGCTCTGAAGAGCTCTGTCCTTGGAGCTCTTCCCCCTCTTATCGCTTAAGCTGATGCTGCTCCTTGGCAGCTGAGGGTAATTATGAGATTTTCTCCATCAGAACTGGGTCTGTGTGTGTCCCCGGCACGGCTGCGCCCAGCGGCGGCTGCGAGGAAACTCCGCAGGCACCTGGGATGGCC